GAATAATCCCTACCAATTACAATTTGGTATTTTATATATATATATAATATATATATATATATATATATATATATATATATATATATATATATATATAACTAATGACATCAACATTGCCCCAGACATATTATCCATCAGTTGAAAGAATCAATAATGATCATGACTCACCACACCAGCTGGACAAAGGAGTAGTCCATTTTCCAGCCAGTTGCCCAGTAATGCACAAGAGGCCTAAAGGTTTATGCTATGTTATCATCCATATTAAGAGTCATGGGCAGTTTATTCAGAAATCTCTAAAAGCCCATTAGCACTAACGACAATTATTGGTTGTGTTTACTCGATGATGTCTGTGTACAGGAAAGAAACCATTTGCACTCTTTAGCATGAGGAATTCAGTACAGAGAAATCCATAATTTGCTACTTGAGTATCTTTTGGCAAACAAATTCTGCTGGTATACCAAACAGACTCACCATGGCTAGTAATTTCGTTTTTTATGGACATGCACGAGTATGGATCTCTACAACTTCCTGTCTTTAATTTCTCTAAGTAACTTTTGACTTTTTTATGACTATTGTCAATATAATTAGCACAACCTGCGGTGTCCCATCGCCATCAGAACCCAAAAACTTTGAAGCTGCCAGAAGAGAAAAGGAGGAAGTCAAGCAAGAATGATTCTACTTAGTCATCAAAGCCATCATTCTGGCATGTTAAATATATGAGATTGTCAAGAGTATAATGCAGGGAGAAGTGGGTTCATGCCTTTCTCTAGAGAATGAATGTAAAGTAAATACAAGCAATATTTACATTATTCGGACTATTGTCCTCATCTTTGTTTCCATGTTTATCACAACGTTTCAGCTGTTATATGCTTCAGCCTTCTTCAGGTCGTTAGAATGTCAAACTGAACCCTTTATTTCACTCGCTGGGGTAGACTGTTCTAGTTCCCCATGCCATGTCTAATGGATGTCAGTTATCTCCCCTCTGAAAGTTCTCCACTGCCTTAACCAGGTATTGAACTCACACTCTTTGGGGCCTGTCACTAAATCTAACTAACGCCATTATCCACTGTGTCCTTGAGGCAGTGGGGAACTTGGAGAAAAGGTTTATTAAAAAACAAATAATGTAATAAAAATAACAAAGATGATGATAATGGGCTGTCTGGAAATTTCTGTTTTTGAAGATTAAAGTTAGCTGGAAAGCATGGAACCAGAAGAGAGTTTCACAAGTGAGAAGTGTGAGAAAAGAAACTTTTTAGTTTAGAACCTATGGTTATATCTAGCCAACTCAACTGTAAATTGATGAGATCTTGTCACCATTCTAGTACTCTGTGTGTGTGTGTGTGTGTGTATATATATATATATATATATATATATACACACATTATTTTTTTAATCTGAATGCAAATAATATAGATTCCTCATCCCAGAAATTCAAACAGATGATTCTTGTATATTTTTAATGGAAAATCTCCCCTACAGACTGTAGTCTAGTAAAGGAATGAGAGAAGAAAGGACTAAATGTCAACTGTAAGAAGACAAAATGTATGGTTATCAGCAAAAAAAAACCCCACAAAAACAGCCCAACATGCAGATGAAAATCTAGGAAATGTTTAACAAAAGATGGAAAATGCCACACCCATATTTGATGTCTTCCTAAAGCTAATCAAAGTATTAAGAAACATGAAATTTTCATTGGAAACAAAGAAAAGAATACTGAACTATTAGGTAATAAACATTACTCTTATATGGCAATAAAGGGACTTGAGGCTGCAGATATGTAGTTGTACAGAAGGATGTTGAGAATAACATGGACTGAACATGTGAGCAATGAGGAAGTTTTAGAGAAAATGAGAACAAAATGGACACTTACATGTGACATCAGAAAGATGAGATTGATTGCCCATGGCCTGAAGGCACAAGGCACATAGGGGTGATATAAGGAAACACTTCAGTGTAAATAAACATATATAGCAGCAATGACACCCTACATTACCAGTGCCAAATTTCTTTTCATTCCTTCCTGTCAGTGTACAGTAGTATTTGCATCAAATGCAAATTTGAGGATTAAGGAAAGTGAGAGACAATCCTGCAATATGAGTAGACAATATTCTTTGTATAAAGTGTAAAAAAAAAAAAAAAAAGAAATTAAATTTTTCTACTTGTGCTTACACTATGTTTGGACAGTTGTCCTTATTTTTGTTGTTGTTATCACAACATTTCAGCCATCTTCCTCAGGTGTGTATCAATCTGGGTAACCTACAGAAAATTCTGAACTGAACCCTATATTGTCCTCATTTTTGTTGCTGTTGTTATCACATTTCAGCCACCTTCCTCAGGCGTGTATCAATCTGGGTAACCTACAGAAAATTCTGAATTGAACCCTCTATTGTCTACATTTTTGTTGTTGTTATCACAACATTTCAGCCACCTTCCTCAGGTGTACATCAATCTGGGTAACCTACAGAAAATTCTGAACTGAACCCTCTGTTTAATCTATGCGGGTAGACTGTTCTCGTTCCACTGATCATGTGCTCTAGGTATATCTTCTAGTCCTTATTTTTATTCAGTATTGTTTAGTTATTGCTTGCCAGTTATAAGTAATTGCAAGTACACACTGCCCAACCACTGTCATCAAAGTCACAAACTAATGCTTTTACCCACCAGGACAATTTTGAAAATTTGTTGTCATAAACTTAGTGCCTTAACCAGTTTTGGCTGCTCATGTCTTTTCTAAAGCTTTTCATTATATTTTTTTTTTTAGCGCTTGTAGAGTGAGTGGCTGTGGTTAAATGTAAAATACATCATAGAACTCTCCAACAAACAAAATTGATAAAGTTTCCAATAACAACAAAAGAACAGGGTAAAAAGTAACATAAAGCAAGCAAACAATATATGCAAAGCAAATTAAGATTAATAAGGTAAAAAATTCACAAAGTAAGAATTGGTGTTGACACACCGGCAAATTTGGATAAGTGAACGTAACATTCTGACTTCAAGATAAGACTGACCGGGGCTGAGTCATATGATATAGAGAACTGTCCTATTTTATTGGCTAGGAAGAAATCCCAGCATGCATTTGTGTGCTTCTGCCTATAAACTTTGGAGGGAAAACTGTTTTGCCATCATTCCAGCAGGAAATGAAACCAACAACGATAAAATGCTTTTTTTTTTTTTAAAATAAACTCTGTAAACTCATTATTGAACAAAATAAACTGAGTAACTATTTCAGAAAAATAAAATTAGATTTTCAAAATATATTAAAAACATCAACATTGTTTACTTCCAAGCTGTGATCTAAATCTGATAGTTGTAACTACTTTTTTTAGATAGAAAATAACTTTATTTGAATGACTAAGCAATTTAATTATAAAAACCATTAACAAAACAATTTTACTTTTAAAAATCAGAAAAGGCTAGTCTAGAAATAGATAACAAAACAATTTCTGCTTGAATCCCTGAGTTACCATTATTTATATTATCTACAATTTGACTAATATCCTCATCTTTATTAGCACATCATTTTGTTCAGTACTGTTCAGTTATTGCTGGTTTTGTTTCAATTGAGCTTAAATCTGTGTCCACACACAGGACACCCACCAACACCCATTCAAAAATGAAAATTCATCCTTGTGCATAACACATCAAGAATCACACACAATTAAGCATGTATTGATAATCTGTAGTAAATTTCCAACATACACGAGCCAAGTATGACTGAGCAGATAGCCTAAAGGAATTTAGTCCTGGATATGATGTTAAACTACAACAAGGCCTCTGATTTAAGATTGGCAGTTTTGAGGAGTGTGAAACCACCTCTTAATTGCTGTTGTTCCTGAGCCAGGGTGATAGCATCTGTTAGAGTCACAGCTTTGGGTAAATAGTGAACCCCACCCAAGCAAAAATCAAAAGGAACTGTTTGGAAAATATTGAACCAAGTGAGATTTTGCAGTTCATAAAAGAATTGGCCTCTATCATAGAATAAAAGTACTCAACCTATTTCTATATAGTTCATACTTGAAAAAAAGTCTACGATCTATTTTTAAGAAGTTTATTACAACCTATTTATATTCAGTTTGTATATGGAAAAATCAATGTTATATAATTAATTTTTTTTTCAAAAAAATTATTAATGCAATATTCACTTGCAAGAAAAGAAAGATTGTAATGCAATTGAAAAATATGTTTCAGATTTTAATAACCATAAAGGGTCGCAAACCATAAAAAACAAATCAATCTGTTTGATGCTGTACTAACCAGTCCAGAGATTGAACTCAGACTTACTAACACTACTACTAGACTGAAGGATTAAAATATTAGTTTATGAATTTGATGGCATAGTAATTATGAGTACAATCCCTGAATCAGATTAGACAAGACTAGCAATTATTGAGCAGTAATTGTGTGTACAGTCCCTGACTCAGACTAGACAAGACTAGCAATTATTGAGCAGTAATTGTGTGTACAGTCCCTGACTCGGACTAGATAAGACTAGCAATTATTGAGCAGTAATTGTGTGTACAGTCCCTGACTCGGACTAGACAAGACTAGAAATTATTGAGCAGTAATTGTGTGTACAGTCCCTGACTCGGACTAGACAAGACTAGCAATTATTGAGCAGTAATTGTGTGTACAGTCCCTGACTCGGACTAGACAAGACTAGCAATTATTGAGCAGTAATTGTGTGTACAGTCCCTGACTCGGACTAGACAAGACTAGCAATTATTGAGCAGTAATTGTGTGTACAGTCCCTGACTCAGACTAGACAAGACTAGCAATTATTGAGCAGCACTAAAGAAGAAAGAAAAAAGACCTGGATTAGGGGACAAGGACAATCAACACTTGTTCAGCTCAAAATACCCTGAAACTTACTGAAAACACTGTGATAATAGCCAAAAAAAAAAAAAAATAAGGATATTAGTCCAGCTGTAAATAAAGTAAATAAAACAATTATTTTTTTTTTTAATTTTCTTTTTGAAACTGAATATGAAGTAGATGGAAACATGGAAAGAAAAAATGAAAAAGAGAAAAAAAATACCACAGAATGCGTTAACTGGTATTATATTCTATTCTTACTTCTGGCTTCTTGTGCATTTCTACTTCCAGCACTCTCCTGGCCTTTACTACTTCCAGCACTCTCCTGGCCTTTACTACTTCCAGCACTCTCTTGGCCTTTACTACTTCAGCACTCTCCTGCCTCCTGGCCTTTACTACTTCCAGCACTCTCCTGGCCTTTACTACTTCCAGCACTCTCCTGGCCTTTACTACTTCCAGCACTCTCCTGGCCTTTACTACTTCCAGCACTCTCTTGGCCTTTACTACTTCCAGCACTCTCCTGGCCTTTACTACTTCCAGCACTCTCCTGGCCTTTACTACTTCCAGCACTCTCCTGGCCTTTACTACTTCCAGCACTCTCCTGGCCTTTACTACTTCCAGCACTCTCCCTGGCCTTTACTACTTCCAGCACTCTCCTGGCCTTTACTACTTCCAGCACTCTCTGGCCTTTACTACTTCCCAGCACTCTCTTGGCCTACTTCCAGCACTCTCCTGGCCTTTACTACTTCCAGCACTCTCCTGGCCTTTACTACTTCCAGCACTCTCCTGGCCTTTACTTTCCAGCACTCTCCTGGCCTTTTACTACTTCCAGCACTCTCCTGGCCTTTACTACTTCCAGCACTCTCCTGGCCTTTACTACTTCCAGTACAACTATTGCCCTCTGTTACATCAGACCACCACTGACTTTTGGCATTACTAACCTTCACTACTTCAGGCCACCACAGACACTTGCTTCTGCCATTTTTGGCCTTGTTACTTCCTGCTAGCATGGGCCCAAACTTTCAGTTACATCCTGGTCCCTGCTTCCGGCATCACTTCAACCTAACCCACTTGGTTGCTGGTGTAAACAGACCTGCTCACTACACCCCTGAACTTCTAGCTACACATCAGTACCTACTTATAGCATGCATATTGTTCCAAGCTCTAATAGCCTATCCTGTACCCTATGGTTATAATACTACTGGAGGTTCACCACTGAACCTGGGCAGCAAATACACCACACTAGCACTGGACATTGGATCTGACCATCTACAATGCAAAGCTAGCACTGGACATTGGTCTTGTTATAGACAAGCGTATGGTTGCAAGAAAGAAATACGACAACAGCAGAAATAGATTTACATGGTTTATTTCAACAGGAACGTGTGGGTTTGGGACAGCTACCTTGTGGTAAAGTTCATAAGCCGGTTTCTGATCTAGGTCAATCTCTCATAGTAGTTCACACATGTTGACGGTGGTTGACGCTCCCCTGCTGTCAGCAGCTGAACGTGACAGATCTCTATCCTGGGCACCTGTTGACTGCCTGTTGAACTTCCGTGTGACCCCTTTTATAGCGTTTTTTTATGGCTTAACTGGCTCGAAAAACGAAGCAAGTATAATTAGGAGGGAAGCATTTTTATTGGACGAAAAATAGAACACTTTAAATATTATTTTATTTTTCGACCGGAACACGTGTGTCGGGAACATTTGTAAACGAAGATAATGGTCATTTCGTGATGGGGCTTTGTCCCGTTTACATCCGGCTCTCGCTCTTGAGTATTTGCCTGTAAATCAGCCAAGATATGTCTTATTTTATTTTATAACAGTCTTGACCAACTACAATGCAAAACCAGCACTGGACATTGGATTTGACCAGCAACAGAGCAATGCCAGCAGCAAGCATTGGACCAACAACCCAACACCAGCACTGGCAATTGGACTTGACCTGCCCTATCAACACCTTCATCAGACTCACATGCTAACCTACAACAACTCTGTAAATAAATTTTCTATTTATCTTAAATATCCTCATTTTCTTGTCCATTTTGTTTCACCTGTCAGATTTCACATCTTTGATTTATAAACATTAGTGGGCCGCATGATCTCATACTTATTTGGGCGCTAGGGCCATATAACATTGTGCCCCCCCCCCTCCAGGGTGTCCGCAACAATGGTTATTGTTTCTCATGTGTCCAAACTCAATGAACAAAATTAAATTTTCCCTTCTTGGCCAATGTTGAAAGCAATTCATAAAGATAACTTACCTATCCTTTGAACAAGTTCTGTAATTTACCAATTTAAGTGTTGATGTAAAACTGACTATATAGGTAGGACTTTAGTAACTTTTCACAATATTTTTCATTCTGGGTATGACAATAAACTACATCCGCGTCCAGAGTAAGACCATAAACTATATCTAACAGCAAGGCCTCTGATCATAAGGTTTTGAGGAGTGTGGAACCACCTCTTAATTGCTGCTGTTCCCAGGTCCACCCTGACCCGGGGTGGTAGCACCTGTTAGGGTCCCAGCTATGGGCAACTAGTTAACCCCGAAACTGAGGTAAAAAGCATTATAAAAGTGTAAAAATAGGTTTTAATACTAGAAATACTTTTTAAAAAATTATTACAAGAAATAAATGTTTGAAATAAATTGTTTACCAGCAATATATTTTGGAAAAAAATATTACCAGCTATACATTTTTGAGGAAAAAATATTACCAGAAATAGATTTTTGACAAAACAAAATATTACCAGGAAAAAAGTTGTCGGCATTAAATAACCCATTGAGGTTGATATGCCATAAAACAAAAAACAAACCAAACCAAACATTTTCACAATATTTTAATTTCTTTGATTGAGTTCTGATGAGTGAGAAGAAATGGTGTAGCATTTTTCTTCTTCTTTTCTTATTTCTTATTACTTTCTCTTTTTGTATTGGAAAATTCTGTGGTTTTAATTTCCTCTTGTACTTTTAATTAAGTCTGTTTTTATTGCATTAATATGTATAAATGCCAAACAATTCAGTTTTTCTTAGAATTAAACCACCAGACAATAGACATGATTATAAAGGTGAAGGCTTGTCTAGAACTGGCCACACCTTTTTGGTAGAACCCATAAGAAAATAGGTGCATATTATGCTCGAAACTCTCCTAGGATTTTCCTTCTTGACTGGTTGCTAATGAAAGCAACAGAATACAGTCTGCCCTGTTATTTAACCCATAGCTCCTGGGAAGAGAAGAAATGGGAATTAAATTCCTTGAATGTTACTGGATTAAAACTCACCTGATGAAGGCCACAGAGCATAATGGCTGAAATATTTTGATAAAAACAACAAAAATGAGGACACTAGGCCAAAGGTATTTGTTTGAAAGCAAATGTAATGAACTTGGTCTGAATTCAAATTCAACTTACTGATTGGTGTTTCTGAGTTACCGTTATATATGAAGAGATAAAAAATTATGTAAAATTCTTCATTGTCTTTATATATATATATATATATATATATATATATATATATATATAAGAAAGAGTCCACATGTGCTTCTTATAGTATTTAAAATAGATAGGTCGGTCTAATAAAACCAGGCAAAACAAAAGGGTACGAATGTGATCAGCAGAAAAAAAAATAATTAAAGTATAATTAATTATTAACCACAAGACAGAAATGAAGTATGGAAATTAATGTTATTAGTCCGGAATTTTCGGCTACACCTGTGTCCTTCATCAGCAGTGTGAGAAATAAACAGAGAAATGGGGAAGACTCACCAGCAGTGGTTCTTGTGGCTGGTGAGAATTTGTTGTAGATGGTATTATTAGTAAAGGTCTGATCCCTGATTGATTTCTCATGTGCGAAACTTTTTTTTTTTGCTACCCTTTCATTTTCCCTTGTTTTATTAACCAACTTATCTATCTATCTATCTATCTATATATATATATATATATATATATATATATATATATATATACACACACACAAAAGATTACTGCTTGCAAAATAAGAATGCAGAATATAAAGTGTTTCTGTTATAAGTTGAAATCAGTTATGACTTGAAATGCATATAAAAATAAATATCACATTTGTCTGATGTAATTTAAATAACTTTGCCATTTTTGCTAACATCTTTCTCAAAATGAAACGTTCTATAATTAGAAAAAAAAACGCAGGATTGCTTACAGTGAATGAATTTTGCATCTGAGAATAGAAAATATAATTTTGATATTTCTCTTAACCTTATATTAGTTTTAATATCAAGCAGTGGCATGATTTTAATGCAGCCCAACTATAAATATTCTGAAATATTTTAAAATGATGGAGATGTAGCATAGGATCAAAACCAGGAAACAGCAAAGATTTACATCTAATTAAATATTCATCAAGAACCTTTAATCTAGGATGGGTTGAGTAAATGATGACCCCAATATGCTGTGGGTTTCCCCACCAGAGATTCCAAAATAAGCTTTGTACTTTGTCAGAAATGGTTGGCTTAGAAGGTGGTCTCATAGCCACCAAGTGTAGAATAGGGCCTCAAGATGTTGACCCAACTGAACTTAGAATGCACATGCAAAACAACTGATGACAAAGAGAAAGTCCTCCAAAAACTATGTGCTTTCCAGTCCTGTCGACCAGGGCTTCAGAATATGCCACCTGCACTTTTGCAAAGTGGTATGACCCCTCCCCAATGAGTCATCTTAGGTAAGGTGATAAACTACATCCAATAGCAAGACCTCTGATCAGGAGATTTTGAGGAGCATGGAACCACCTCTTAATTGCTGGTGTTCCCAGGTCCACCCTGACTTTGGGTGGTAGCACCTGTTAGGGTCCCAGCTATGGGCAAATAGTTAACCCTCAAACTGGGGTCAAAACACTATAAAAGTGTAAAAACAGATTTTAATACCATCAATACATTTTTGTAAATATATTATTACCAGCACTATATGTTTGATAAAATATTACCAGCAATACATTTTTGATAAAATATTATCAGCAATACATTTTTGAGGAAAATTATTGTTAGTAATAAAAATTTTCTCAGTATTAAATAACCCATTGAGGTTGATATGCCGTAAAACAAACCAAACCATGTACTCTATCTGGCCAATGTTAATTTGATTTAGTACTGAAGTGAAGAAAAAACTTTGTGTGAAAGATTCAATATGGTATTTGTATCAGATGTTACTAACTTTTTTACAGTAATGTTCGCCCTGTACAAGGCCTGGGCATCAGTCGAGCTAGAGGGTTGTGTTAAGGGGTAGTTTATATGGATAGGAGAGGAAGATAACTGTTAAATCTAGATATGAACAGGTTAAGAGTGCAGTCATCGGGGAAACATCCTCTTGGGAGTCTGTTCCACACAGCAGTGGTTCATGAGAAGAAGCTGTTTGAGTGGAACTTACTTCTCACCGATGGAATACGGGGGGAATGTGGGTGGTTTGCTACTATGTAAGTGGTATGACAGGTCCTAGCTGTGAAGGTTAGACTCGGTGGAACCAAAGAATGTAGTTTGTCCAAACACTTTCCATGGAAGTAGCGATATAGCAGTGAGAGATTCACCACATCCTGCCTGTGAGAGAGAGAGAGAGAGAGAGAGAGAGAGTTTGGAGGATGGACAATAATTCTTCTCCAACAAGGACTCTGAAATGCTTTTGAACTAAATCCAGAAACAGATATGCAGTGTGATGGGTCCTGATCTGGCATCTCATTTACACTTTCTCACAGACATGCCGTGGCTTCCCTCTCTCTCTTTTACAAGTATTTTCATGACAACTGCTCTGATGAGCTACTTTCACTGGTTCCCAGACTTTATGAATTTAAGCTTGCTACTAGGTTGGTATCTCGGTCCCACCCTTTCACTGTCAAAACGGTTAAATGTAGCTGTCTCTTTTACTCTTCTTGTCTTGCACCTCCCAACAGTGGAACTCCCTTCCTCTTACTTGCTTCCC